GGGGAAGTTATTCACTATTTGTTTACAAATGGCGGAGTTGCGTAGTTATAATTTTATCAAACGATGAACACACAGAAGTATTATTATCACAGTTCAGATTATTGCTAAAGTAAGGTTTTTTATTTATGCCAGTTGCAGTCACTGACTTTTATCATGTACGAATTTTTAAAAGTCTATTTAAAAGACATCGCTGTCTGAATAGTAGTAGTACGATTACCTAATACTACTAATAGATCGCTTACTGATTTCGACATTCAAAAGCATCAACTGTTCAGTAGATAATAGCAACCTAATCAATGTAAAATTGCCTAACAAAACCATGAATAGCCACCACAAATGCTAGGGTTGGTTTGCGACACCCTGATACACAGCTCAGTTGTAACTCAGTAAATACATCACAAACTATGACTAATAGAGCTCAACAGAGGGAAAGGACAAAATACGGCTCTCCTTTCAACTACGGGCCGGTAGACAAACACCGACGGCCGGTTAGTCGGAGTTATGTCCCCTTGCTACAGTGCAATTACAGACTGGACAGGAGGGAACGAAACAAATGACATAACTACTGTGTGTTGCCGATAGACAGCATACGGTTACGGTTTGGGTTAGGGTTAGGGGTAGGTTTAGGGTTTGGTTTACGATTAGGGTTAGGGTTAGGGTTTGGTTTAGTGGTAGGGTTAGGTTTAGGGTGTGGGTTAGGGTTAAGGTTAGTGTCGCCGCATCTCGTCTTCGCACAAACTTATAATAGCAACCCTAACCCTAAACCTAACCCTAAACCTACCCCTAACCCTAACCCTAGGGCACTGCACGCTGTCTATCGCCGACACACAGTAACTATGTCACTTGTTTCGTTCCCTCTAGTCCACTCCGTAATGCATCGGAAGAAGCGGTAATTGAACACGGTCGCTAATTTGAGTAGCAGCGCGGGGTATGCATGTCGACCTCACTGTGATTTTTTGATTCGTGCCGTCTCCAGTCCGTAATTGCACTGTAGCAAGGGGACATAACTCCGACTAACCGGCCGTCGATGTTTGTCTACCGGCCGAAGTTGAAAGGAGAGCCCAAAATACACATACATTCAGCATTATAGGCTAACTATGTGTCTGTTATTTTGTCCAGTGACAACAGCTCCTGTCGGCACTTTTCCGAATACCGGTCCAAAATTATTGACTGTTTAAAGAAATCCCTTTGAGGGCCCTAATATAGTTAAATATATGGGCTATCCTCCGAACTTCAGGCACTAAAGATGGTGGACGCAAAATAGCCTTTCGAGCCACTGTCACATGTCAATTGCGCACTTCCACCGACGTAATTTGCGGTCCTCACGCGGCGTGGATTGGGGCTAAACTAGATGGCTAGGACCCATGAGCAGCAGCTTCCGCATCTCCTGAAGCTTTGCTCGTGAGTCCTAGCTATCTAGTTTAGCACCCAATTGTGGCGGTAGTCGCCGGAAAACCGCCGGAGAACTGCAAATTAAGTCACGCGACTGTGGCTCGAAAGGATTTTTTGCGGCCGCCATCTTTAGTGCCCGAAGTTCGGAGGATAGCCGAAATGTGAAATAGGAACACTGTGAACTATACTTTGCGTTAATATATACTTTCATTTAAACCAAAACTATTGAGTCTTCGGTAGTACAGTTGTGAATATTCGGCCTGTTGTGCGGGTGACCAGTAATCTATTCCCCGCTGGGCAAAAATTCTTTTTATCCCCTAAAAGGTTGGTTGGGACATTGTGTTGGGGTTTACAGCTAGGCTATGATATCTGCACCTTTTGCTCGGTTTTGTGGTTTACAGCTGAGCTACGATAGCGGAGGGGATATACAAAATGGTCATGTCAGTGTTATTTAATATTCTGTCTTTTTGTTTGCCATTGAAAGGGCGATTGGCACGTTGTGTTGCGGTTTACAGCCACGTTGCAATTTATGCGCCTTTCACCCCAAAACATAAGATTTCAAGAAAGTCCTTAGTCTTTTTTTACAACATGCTTTTTAGGTGGCAGTGGATCTATTCTTTTTTTCCCTCAAACATGTGGCCATGGAGCTCACAAGGGGCATCACAGGTAATGTGAACAAAAGATAAAAAACTATTCCTCACCACGACGCTTCAATGGATCGAAAACTAATCCTCCCCACAGTGCTCAGCTTAACTATCGAGCTATCCATCGAGCAATAACGACAGAAGTGGAAACTGATGATGATAGCCTAAATGTTTTTACTACATAACCTCTTGAGGCTCTCACCGGGATTTTTTTCGCAGTGAATAATTTGGGTGGGTGGAGTGGAGGGTGGGTGCGTTGTGGGTGGGTGGATTGATGGATGGATTTTTGTAGAAGACCAGTGTTATATTTAGAGACCAGAAAGGCACTTGGTAAATGTTAGATCATACAGAGGTTGGTGTACACTCTTTCTTCTTGACCTGGTACCAAACAACAGTCTCCTTGTGAACTGTTACAGAGCAGTCTTTATCCTCTTCAAGCCTGGAAACTAGTTGGCACAAATGAAAGGCCTTCCACATATTTAATGTTATTTTACTAAAGAAAAGTCTGTTTTAGGGAGACTTCACTGCTTTGTCACTGCTTTAACATTTTATTATCAACATTTGGGTGAAGGCATTTGAAGGCATATTTCAAAAGGGAAGGGAATGTAAAGCTTGAGGTAGACCAAGAGACAGCCTCAGAAAAACTCTAAAGAGTTAGTTGTTTATCCATTATATGACATTGTAGAACTAGCCCCTGCATTTTCTGATTGTTTATAATTTTACTAGACAATTTTGCGTTCGGTAGTTTATATCACTTCTGAATGGTCAGCTGTTTATACTACTGTTGAAACCAACACAAGGCCTTCTGCTGCCAGATTTTCTTCAGCTGGCAACAAACCTCAAATTATGAAGCACCTTGGAATTATGAAGCACGTTCACAATGCCTAAGCCACAGATGCCGACTCTACGAAAGTATCTGTGACTGAGGCAGCCAGAAGAGAGAGGTTCAGAACTCTGTCTCACTAAACACCCAAAGTTGTACAGGGAAAAGGTGAAGGTTTATTATCACCAGAATGGCGGGTAACTAATAAAGAAGAAGTTATCACAGTAATGATACAGTAATTTTTGAGAGTAAAATGGAAAAGCGTTTTACCAAAGATTTTTTTTGGATCAGCCTTGAACTTTGAAGCACATTATGTCATGAAATTTCCCAACTGGGTTCTAGGGCTGCATTTTGATGGAAGAAAAGAATGGATGTACTCCACTGCTTCCTTAATAAGCATGTCCTAAAAGTCAACTAATTAGGGGTGTTTCTTTCATTCAGACTGCGTCTGCTTGAGAGGCAAGAAACCAACAGTCTGCATACAAATGAACCAGATTGGTCAAATGGATGTGCATGCAAAACTCAAGTTCTGGAACAAGACTAAAGTGTAGAAGTGGATGAACAACCGGAAATTTCTTCCAGAGTTTACAGGTGAACATGAAGAAGATGAATGGAGACTGTTGGTTCCTTGCCTCTCAGGCAGATGAACTCCGACTTAAGAGAAAGTTTCCACATAGTCAGCTCTTACGACATGCTTTTGGACAGGCAGTGGATCTATTGTTGCTTTCCTTACAATAGGACCCCTGTCCTCTGTAGTTGTTTCAATATCAAGGAAATAATCCAGTTCAGCACCTCTGGCCATTCGTCATAAATCCTCAATCACAAACGTCTTTGAAAAAGTAAAGTCTCTGACTACAATCCTACCAAATAGCGCCCTCAGTCATGTCTGTCCATAGCCTTCAAAGAATGCCAATAATATGCTCAATGGACATATAGAGGATTTCCCCAACCAAAGATCGGTGCACATAAGCAGAACATGGACTGGTTAGTACCTAAGCTTTCACATATTTGTACCATTCACTACAATCGTGGCCTAGTAAGAAGCTTTTTTAACCATGCCAGAAAGATTTGCACTGAAGATAACACTGGGAGAAAAAATTTAAACCCTCATTACAACTCGGCCTCTGAATGGATACCCTCACAGGATTCATTAAATGTCACTGCACCCAGCCCAACCCTGAATGAAATTGAATTGCCCAAACTGCAAGTTTTCATCCAAATAACTTATCCAGGAGATGACATCATGTAGCCTCTCCAGAACCGACTAAAACAGCTGTTGGCCAAACATTCTTTGCCACTGTTCCAGTAGTGAGGTACAAGATCATTTCCAGCCCAACCTCATCTGTTAAAGAGCTAGTGCCCCCATACACCAAATCTAGTTGTATTTATCAGTTTACATATAAGTACCAGCTGAATTATATTGGTCGAATAGAGAGACAGCTTGAAAATAGAGTGGCAGAACATATACCCAAATAGCTACATTCAGAGTTGAGTGATTCCACCAGGATATCAGGACCAGTCAAGCGGAAGGTATCCATCTCTTCTGTGTGACCTCATTGGCTTGCTTCTGGACATGTAATTGACAAGGACAGTGCTTTCCATGTGATTTACCACACATAAAACAAGCGAATGCTGAGACTGTCCGAAGCTTTAACAATCAAAATGAACACCCCCTCTTATTTAAGCCGAATGAATTATAAATTAGAAGTTGCCATGGTAAATCATGTGACTGTCATGAATTTCTGGTCATTAGATAAACATGATCTACCAAAAGTCACTATTTGTATTTCAGTGGAATTTATTCAGTTTTTGTGTGTGTGCTTCATTTTTATGTTGATGTAACTCTGCATGTAGTGATGCACCTGACGAAATGCAGCCAAAAATGCCCGGCGATGAATTGTGCAGTATATTGTTTGCATGCACAGTATTATAAATATCATCATATTGTGGCAACATATTTGTGTGCACAGTGTTTAAATTTCACCATATTGTGGCAACATAATTTTGTTCACAGTATTTAAATACCATCATATTGTGGCAACATATTTGCGTGCACAGTATTGAAATATCATAATATTGTGGCAGGATACTGGTGTGCATGTGTTCCTTTGTTTCCTCAGATACTGTCCAACAAAAAGAGTATGGCCGCCTATCTAATGTGCCTGACAAGTGGCAGTGGTATGCCGGTGTTTACCAGATCTGTAGGCAGTGTCAAGCCAGTAAGTCCCACTTTAATTTTGTTTGAGAGTGAGAGATTTCTCCTTTTGCATGCAGTTGTATGTCACTCCGAACACCTTTACTTTTCTAGACGTTAGTTGGTACCCAGTTTAGGCTGGATTAACCTTAGAATCAAGGTAATTTCTTTTAAATAAATCTGACTTGATTCAGATTTGAACCCACGACCTTTGGACCTAGGTGAGCATCTAGCCGGCCTGCTAGGAAAGCTCCCTAAAAGTTATAAATACAGGCAGTAAAAAATAAATTAGGAAAAGCTGGTAACATGTCAGAAAACAAGATAAATATATTCCATTGCATATAATGCCATTGGCAGTAAAAGTGTTAGGACTGTTACATATTTCATGCCATAACATAATGTCGGTAAAAGTGTTAGACTGTCACATATTCCATGCCATATCATAATGGCGTTCAAAGTGTTAAGACTGTCACATATTCCATGCCATATCATAATGGCGTTCAAAGTGTTAAAACTGTCACATATTCCATGCCATATCATAATGGCATTCAAAGTGTTAAGACTGTCACATATTCCATGCCATAACATAATGGCGGTAAAAGTGTTAAGACTGTCACATATTCCATGCCATATCATAATGGCGGTAAAAGTGTTAAGACTGTCACATATTCCATGCCATATCATAATGGCGGTAAAAGTGTTAAGACTGTCACATATTCCATGCCATATCATAATGGCATTCAAAGTGTTAAGACTGTCACATATTCCATGCCATAACATAATGGCGGTAAAAGTGTTAAGACTGTCACATATTCCATGCCATATCATAATGGCGGTAAAAGTGTTAAGACTGTCACATATTCCATGCCATATCATAATGGCGGTAAAAGTGTTAAGACTGTCACATATTCCATGCCATATCATAATGGCGGTAAAAGTGTTAGGACTGTCACATATTCCATGCCATATCATAATAGTGGTAAAAGTGTTAAGACTGTCACATATTCCATGCCATATCATAATGGTGGTAAAAGTGTTAAGACTGTCACATATTCCATGCCATATCATAATGGCGGTAAAAGTGTTAGGACTGTCACATATTCCATGCCATATCATAATGGTGGTAAAAGTGTTAAGACTGTCACATATTCCATGCCATATCATAATGGCGGTAAAAGTGTTAAGACTGTCACATATTCCATGCCATATCATAATGGCGGTAAAAGTGTTAAGACTGTCACATATTCCATGCCATATCATAATGGCGGTAAAAGTGTTAGGACTGTCACATATTCCATGCCATATCATAATAGTGGTAAAAGTGTTAAGACTGTCACATATTCCATGCCATATCATAATGGTGGTAAAAGTGTTAAGACTGTCACATATTCCATGCCATATCATAATGGCGGTAAAAGTGTTAAGACTGTCACATATTCCATGCCATATCATAATGGCGGTAAAAGTGTTAAGACTGTCACATATTCCATGCCATATCATAATGGTGGTAAAAGTGTTAAGACTGTCACATATTCCATGCCATATCATAATGGCGGTAAAAGTGTTAAGACTGTCACATATTCCATGCCATATCATAATGGTGGTAAAAGTGTTAAGACTGTCACATATTCCATGCCATATCATAATGGCGGTAAAAGTGTTAAGACTGTCACATATTCCATGCCATATCATAATGGTGGTAAAAGTATTAAGACTGTCACATATTCCATGCCATATCATAATGGCGGTAAAAGTGTTAAGACTGTCACATATTCTATGCCATATCATAATGGCGGTAAAAGTGTTAAGACTGTCACATATTCCATGCCATATCATAATGGCGGTAAAAGTGTTAAGACTGTCACATATTCCATGCCATATCATAATGGCGGTAAAAGTGTTAAGACTGTCACATATTCCATGCCATATCATAATGCCGGTAAAAGTGTTAAGACTGTCACATATTCCATGCCATATCATAATGGCGGTAAAAGTGTTAAGACTGTCACATATTCCATGCCATATCATAATGACCAGCAGTGACCTGTCCCCTGCTACATTGCCTTTTTTATTTTCAGACACTTGTCTCGTAGAACATCAGTCATAATAGTGCTCTTGACAGAGCTCATCAGCGAATGTTAGATCTCCCCCCAGTACTTTGATGAGGTACAAGGTGGAAGAGAAGAAGAAGAAGAAGGTCTGTTAGGGATGGGCTGAAGGTCATACTGGGGTGACCAGTAATTCATCACTTCTGGGGACTGAACTCAGCCCTACCATCTTGGCCAGCAAAGACATTAACAACTGTGCTACTCAGCTCATGTTGTTTGTTTGTTTAAGTGTCCAGAAGCTATGAGTTGTGATGGATATCGCAACCTTTCGGCCTTGACTCCATTGTAAATACCGTAAATCTGGGAGAAAATGTGGCTTTTCTGCCTACCACTGGGAGTGAACCCGGACCACAAGGAGTTCGTCACCTGGTCACCACACAATCCGGTTTAGCCAACTAGGCTAGAGAGCCGGGCTACTTAGCTCATATCAGCGTGCTGTGATATTTTGTTTTGATCCTTCACTTCTTGTCGAGAGGTATCCTCTCATTGGGTTCTAAGGCTCCATTTTGGAGAACAAAGAATGGACCACTCCCACCCCCCCCCCCCCCCCCCCCCCCCCCCCCCCCCCCCCCCCCCCCAAACTAACAAGCATATAGTAGGAAGCGAATAGTTAGGGGTGTTGCCTTCAAAGTCAGAGTGCATCTGCCTGGGAGGCAAGGAACCAACAGTCTGCATACAAATGAACCAGTCTGTAAAGTGGATATTTACACAAAACTCTGCTTCTGGAGTAAGGCCAACACCCAAGAGTGGATGAATAATGAGAACCTTCTGCTGGAGTTTACAGCTGGTGAACGCTAACCAGAAGAAAACTAGTAGAAGTACAAAGAGACTCAACTGGTGACTTTTTTCACACTGAGATTCAATACAGTCACTTCAGTCTGAGTTTGTGATGTGGACAGCTGAAACTCTCTTTTTCTAACTCTGTTTTCCCCACACTTTCTGTAATGGTTTTATTCACAAACATGCATGCATGCACAAACACACTCTGTTTCTTTGTTTAAACAAATAAATGGCAGATCAGAGATACAGAAACATACTGATAAACACACAGATAGATAGATAGATAGACAGACAGACAGACAGACAGACAGACAGACAGAATTTCTTTTTTCAATATCCGAAAACCATGAGTTGTTAACCCTTTGGCTCGGTACTATGGATATCGCAACCCTTTGGCCTTGATTCCATGATAGATACCTTAAATCTTGGAGAAATGTGGCTTTTCTACCTAGCCCAGGGCGCGAACCCAGACCGCAAGGAGTTCGTCACCCTGTTGCAGTGCAGTCAGTTTTAACCAAATGAGCTAGTAAGCCGGGCAGACAGACAGATAGACAGATAGATAGATGGATAGATAAAGGGGTGGATGCATAATCAGGTGACTGGGTATATGTTCATGTATGGATAGATAGATAGATAGACAGGTAGGTAGGTAGACAGATGGAAGGATGGAGGGCTAGCTGGCTGGATTGATGGGTAGATAGACAGGCAGATAGGTAGGTAGACAGATGGAATGATGGAGGGCTAGCTGGCTGGATTGATGGATAGATAGACAGACAGATAGGTAGGAAGGTAGGTAAACAGACAGACAGATTAGATAGATAGATAGATAGATAGATAGATAGATAGATAGATATTTTGTATATGTTAATTATGCGCTTTATTATTTTATAATGTCAGTATGTAAACTAAGAGAATCCCCTCCTGAAGCCTGCTCCTTCTTCTTGGCACTGAAACTCTCAAAAGGCTACATCTCCAAAAGGTTGAGGCAGACGGATGAGCTTCTTTAGCCACAGACACCACCCCGTATGCATCCGAGCCACAAATATACTTCTGTTGGTGTCACATATCACTCCTGTCACGTGCCTGATGTAAGGATTTCTCCTTCAGAACCAACAGCACTCAGAAATAATTATGTTGAGTCGTTTGGCTCGTATTGGTCTAAGGGATTCCCCGTGGCCAATATACGCTCAACTTATTTCTGGAGTAGGGCAACTCAAGTATTGGCACTACAAAATATATCAGTATATGAATACAATATTCCTAGGCACACTTGACTGGACACCCCCACTACTTACTAAAGAAAGCTCCCAGGATATGATAGTTCATTATCATAACCATGTTGACACATATAATGAAGATACATACACACACAACTGCTAAACACTTAAAAAGGTGAAATAGAGACACCTAAGTCAGCCATGAAAATGAATGCATGTAATCAAGATGACATATATATATAATAGTGAAACAGATGCCAGATCTCCTAGGATAGATCTCAGGGTATCATGTCCAGATCACAAAGATACTACACAGACAGCAGGTCTTGGAGATGACACTATCTCATCCTTGGGAAACATAGGAGCTGTGAGGAATAAAGCACATAAGGCATCAACTTAGCTTCTCCTCTTTCCGTCGATGATGCTTCCCTCAGCTCCTGATGATTCGACTGTCTTTGACTCTGGTAATTCTGTTCAACTGGATCAGGTAGTGAAAGAGTACTTCACCATAGAGGACACAGCAACTGTACCGGTACTCAGCAAGTCTCTCCCACCAGTTAGGTCACAACAGGGTCTCTGAGCTACACCAAGCTCTTGCTCTGGTAGGCTGTTTGGGTTATCTGCCCCCACATAGTGATAATGTCAGAAACCTTCACAGGTGTTAGCTGGTGGGTAGTTGGTTGATAGTTGGTTGAGGGTTGGTGGGTGTTGGTTGGACTGTGAAACTTCTGCCAGCTCCTCACAAAGGATTCATCCCAAGCATATGAAAAGTCCGAGACATTCCAGATTGCCTTATGAAAGTGAAATTATACAGGCATCGATTGACACGTCTGGACGCTAGGAAGCCGGCAAGAGAGAATGCCGCCAATTAGGCCTTTCAGGCGTTGGTAAAAAAGGAGTTCCTAGTATACATGGGCAAG